TATTAGGATCATAAACCAGCGAGTATTGAGAGCAAACAAACAACGCCTATTGTATAAGGAATTATACTATCTGCCGATGACAAATTGGTACACGGCTTTATTGTTTGTAGTATTGAGTTTTGGAATTCTTTACCACTCTGCTCGTCTTTTCCTTAGTCTGCCATAATTAGATTTTTTTCAGTAGGTACTATATCCTTTTTTGATCAATAATTTTATCGAAATTATCCTTCCTTAGACTACGTTACAAAATCGGGATTAAGCATGCAGTTTAATATTAACCAGCCTCAATTCAAAAATTCGCTAATAATAAACCAATTTTAGTTTCTAAACTTGTCCGATCCAGCTCTGATAAAGTAGCTAAAAATAAATTACGTTAAAGGAATATAATTCTAACGTTAAGAGGATGAAACTGACTATAAATTAGTTTCCATAATAGGCCGAACACGGAAGTAGGCCCAATAGACAAATGTGTGCGCTTGTGCCGTCGATTGTAGAGAAGGAAAATGCGACAAGATGGCGCCGGTCTGTCTGGCGCCATGGCTTTTCATGCGAACGAAATGTAAATGTCGTAAGTGCCGCTTTGTATTTCAAACCTAATATACCTTAAGTGTGATACCTAAAGTTTTATTTCATTAAGCATTTATTTCCAAATCTAGTATTGACTTTTTCGTATAATAGTTATGCGTTTTAGGCTGCCGCTTTCCCTATTGGCACTCGATCTTTGACTATAAGTGGTGAAGCTTAAAGTTTACTCCTGAATGTTTTTTAGTAAAGATATAAATTTTTGTTAGTGATTCGTTGTCTGGGTGGCGCCGAAGGGCTCTTAAATAAATTTGTTGCATCATGAGCCCTAAACCAAAGACATAAAGTACATTTTCTAACATTTTCTAATAAAATCGCTTTAACGGGAAGAAATATTACCGAAATTTGCTCGATGTTCATGAAGTAAATAGCCTATGTATTTAAACAGGCAATGTTATTAAAAGTTGGACCGTAAATTTCGTTTTTATCCAGTTACATATATCTCATCCATTTTATACTTAGGATTGCTTAAGGCAGAAGAGATTTATATTTTTCTTAGTTTGAATAACATTTTAACTAATTGAAAATATAAATTGTTTTTAATTATAACATAAATAAGACGTAACGTACTGAAAATGTAATTATATAATAATCATCTTAAGTCTAGCCCATCATAGATCAACTGCTGCTCATAGACTTCCCCATAGATTGCCACAAAATATGGTTCTGAGCAGCGGAACAAATGTTGACAACGCCTGGCTAATTAGCTAATTAGATGGAACAGGACACGTGTGCGAGAGAGTTATCTAACAGGTGAATGAAAAATATGATGACTGTGAGGGCGATATAGGAGATAGGCAGTAGGCGATATAAAACTTCCACCCAATAATTATGTCATCCTACATTACAAAAAGTTTTAAGTTTCTTAGCTTCTGACATGATTTTTTTATGGTTTAGGAAAAACTATTCCTTCTAATATATATGGTATGGTGAGTGTAGAGAATCGATACTCTTTTTACTGGAATCGAGGCATTCCATCTTAGTCCTCAGGGGTTACAACGCATTTGCATTTTAATTCTTGGTTAAAGATATATGTGGATATCTATGGGCCAAAACATTCACTTACCATCAGGTGGACTGTGTGCTCGTTTCTCACCGAATACTATAAAAAAATATCATCCTTGGTAGGAATCGGTGTTCTTTTGCGAAGATTTGTAGTTTATCTAATCTGATGCAGTTGTTGGGACGATCTTGAACGTGTTCACAGACTGCAGACTTCCCTGAACGTCGGTGCTTCACGTCAGCGATATGTCTTCTTCTTGAAAGGATTTTATGGCAAGGAAATGTCCGTCACGCTGTCCTAATGCGTTGTATGTTGGTGGACCATACATTACTTAGATTTTTTTTAGATTTCTCAGACATGCAGGTATCTTCACGATGTTTTACTTCATCATCGAACCCGTGGCCACCTTATGCTCATCGTGTCACAATGTATATACTTGCAGATAAGCAATATCCATCCATTACAGCCTATAAAAGTCTGCTACTTAACATAGGCCTCAAGATTTCGTCTTAGGGGGGATTTTGCCATAGTTGCCACGCTTAGCAGGCATATTGGCAAGCACAGGTTTTTTTAATAATTTTAAGTAATTATCAGGAACAAGCATCCAGTTCCTAGAAAAATATTATTATTCTATTCTATAAAAAGTGGTACTACTGTCCAACTTTTTTATAGAATAGAATAATAATATTTTTATAGGAACTGGATGCTGTGGTCTATAGACATCTACATTTATCCTCAATTAAAGGTCCTAATGCAGATGCGTTGTCACACCTGAGAACTAATGTCTAGTTTTCAGAAAAAAGGGTCTCCGGTTCTCTACACTCAACATATGAAACGTAGCAGCGCTAAGCTGCTATTTTACGCTGGTATTCAGTGAGAGCGTGGCCCTTCCCCGGTCGAGCCGACCCATTCGTGCTACAACCAAAATACAAATGCAGCGTGGCTCTACCACGTGTAAAACTATGACGTCTATAAATATACATGTGGTAGTAGGCAGGAAGGGACCGTGAATTTGTGGGACCTGGGCTAACAGTACTGGGGTCCTAAAATTTTGCAAAAAACTGTTTTCTATAATGATGTATACGGTCTGAAAAAAATTATATGGCTTGGATACACAAACAGCAAGTGTAAGACAATATTGCATAAGAAATAACAGGTTATGGGTTATTGTTAAATAAATTATAAAGACTTTTCTAGATTTTTGCGGTGCAAATTCCTTTATTTTCTCATCACATTGTCAGTTCTTTGTTAAATCATAATTCATGAAAAGAACTGATAAATTATGTAGTCAATTGCTCAACATTGATTGACCTATATTTGTTTTCTAAAGACATTCTGGAGAAACAGTGTTCCGCTTCATAGCTAGTGCTTGACAACGTTAAAATCTCTTTATGATAGCAAAGCGATTTGGAAAAACATCAACAAGTTTCTTTTCACTAATTAGCATAAAAATTTCACTGCAAGAGATATAAGAATCTAGCTTAGACTTTAGTAAGATTGTAACCGAATTCACTAATTCACTAAATGTTCGTCTACGTCATCTGGAAGTAATATATAAGTCAATGTATCTGGATAATAATCAATAACATTAGATCAATAACAATTAACGTTAGAGCTGTTCGAATCGTCGACGTTTTTACGTGGTAGAGCCATGCTGCAGTTATATTAGTAGTATAGTTGTAGCACGAATGGGTCGGCTCGACCGGGGAAGGACCACGCTCTCACAGAATACCAGCGTGAAATAGTAGCTTAATGCTGCTGTATTTCGTATGGTGAGTGTAGAGAACCGGAGACCCTTTTTACTGGAAACGAGGCATTCCATCTTAGTCCTTACGGGTGACAACGCATCTGCGTTTTGCTTTGTAATCGAGGATAAATGTAGATGTCTATGGGTCGCAGCAACCACTTACCATCAGGTGGACTGTGTGCTCGTTTGTCACCCGATCCTATAAAAAAAAGAAAAAGACGACCGAGCTCTTTCCGATCGGCTTGACTCACTGGCACTGCGAAGAGATCTTGCATCTCTTTTAAAGTTGTTAAAAAGGACTATAAATCAATAGCACGCTACAGACTATAAACTATAAATTTCTAGCGCGCTTTTAAATACGCTATATTATAGCGAGCTATTTATAAAAATACGTGTGTGAGGCCGGCCGTAAAGTTTTACAGCACGCTAAATTTCGTAGCACGTTACATTACAAGTCGCTCGTTGGATAGACCGCGTGCTATATAAGAAAATTATTTTCTAATGTCACATTTTACACGAAAATAAGATAAAGCATTAGTAAAACTAATGAACAATCAACAATGAACAATAACGTTTGCATCTATAATCGATGTAAACGTTATTTTAACCTTAATGTAAATTTTAAATCGATTAAATAGGTTTGTACAATCAATAAAAAGTTATTGATTGTATATACAAAAATCAACTATTTAGATACGCTATTGTATACACTTTTGTATCTATATTTTATTTATATTTAAAAACATTAGTTCGACTTATTTTGTAGCAGATAACCATGTCCTTCGATCACTTATAAATATACAGTATAAACTAACTAAATAATGTCTAAGACTAAATTCGGTCGCGCTCTATAAATAGCGTGCTGCTAGAGCAAATTTGCATCACACGTGAACTCCCAACAGCGCTGCTGCTAGAACTAATTTCCACTAGAGCTATTAACAGCGCCAAAGTGCCATAGCGCCATAGCGACTACTACTCACATAGCACGCGCTATGTGCTATGGAAAGATAGCGCGCTATAATATGGCGCTATGCGCTATATTAACCACCATTAATCTCTTTGCGTATTTTATCGCATCTACCACGGGAAGTGCTCTGAGGAATTGTTCGGACTAATTCCAGCCACACTAATTCACCATCGCATATCGCGATGAAACTCACGATACCATCCATACCATCTGGATGACTGGCGGTCCCCCACCGTGCGATTTAAAAGAAGAATTCTTCCTCGCAAAACTTTCTTATGGAATCGACTACCACCAGAGATTTTCCCGGAACGATACGACTTAGAGACCTTCAATAAAAGAGCCTACTCCTTAAAAGGCCGGCAACGCATCTACAATTCCCCTGGTGTTGCAGTTGTTAATGGGCGGCGGTAGTCACTTACCATCAGGTGAGCCGTATGCTCGTTTGCACCCTCTCCTATAAAAAAACGGCAGCCTCAATTGTTTGATTTGATGAAAGCACTCAGAGGAAACGTTTAAAACTTGGCTTTACTGCATCATCGATGGGAAGTACTAATTCCATTAGCTTCCGGTTATATTGATTCAGCAGAAACACAAGAGACTGAATGCCATCACCATCGCAAAAAAATCCGTAAATCGGAATGAAAAGGAGTTCTACTGTCCATTATTTATAGAGTTTATTCAAGAAATTGTTGATTTAGGCCATGGTAATTGGGTTTCAGAATTTCCTCGCGCATAAAATAGACAGCCTATATATATGCCGTATATATATATGCCGACACTAGCTTTTCTGCGGCCAGACGCCGCGATCACGAAATTCAGACTGGTTATCAATTATAGTCACCCCTCGTCACCAGGTTTGAGTCTAAATGATATACTGTAGGTAGGGCCTGTTGTACGACCTGATCTAGTGACGATCCTAATTCGATTCAGATGTCACAAATACGCATTCATATGCGTTCATATTAAAAAGTTCAGTCAGTCGCTGCAAAGAGTACTCTGGCGCGACAGTCCGCAGGATGAATTAAAGTGCCTTCAGCTAAGAACAGTCACATACAGGACTGCCCCTGCTAGTTTTCTGGCCACTCGTACATTGCATGATTGCAGAATTGCACAGTCTCTTATCAATGATTTAGTGGATTTAACGGGACGTGGTTGTTTCGAACTGCATAAGTTTTGTTCTAATTCAACTACATTGTTTAATCATACTCGTATTCTAGAGGAAAAGAGACAAACCTGTAAAAGTTCAAATGTGCAAAAGTTCTTCGGCGATGACGATTCTACCCTTAAAACACAGGGGCTCTTGTGGGATCCACTAAAAACACAAAGCGCAATATCCTTGCATGTATTGCCAAAATATAAGATCCTATGGGGTTCATAGGTCTCGTGACTATGCAAGCTAAATTGATCATGCAAGCGATTTGGTGTGAAAACATCGGCTGGAATGATGATGTTTCAGACGAAATACTCACGTCCTGGAAAGATAAATGCTGCAGTTATATTAGTAGTACAAATGTCGCACGATTGGGTCGGCTAGACCGGGGAAGGACCACGCTCTCACAAAATACCAGCGTAAAAATAGTAGTTTAATGCTGCTGTGTTTCGTATGGTGAGTGTAGAGAACCGGAGACCCTTTTTACTGGAAACTTTTTTTACGGGTGAAAACGCATCTGCATTTTAATTCGTAATAGAGGATAGATGTTGATGTGTATGGGCCACAGCAACGACTTACTACTATCAGGTGAACTGTGTGCTCGTTTGTCACCCTATGCTATAAAAAAATCTATGATAGAAAGAATATTAACAATAATGATGAAATTTAATATTTAAGGTATATTAGATTTCATCATTATTATGTATTAAAGCTACATGTATTTCTAGCCTAAATAATCCTTCTCGTGGAGACTAAACGCAATGATATTTACTTTTTGCTGAAACTTTTTGCATGTAAGAATACCAATAGATCGTTATAGATACCTACGAGACGTCACTGTCAGGAATATAGATTAAAATTTTATGTACACTTCTTCATTTTCTCTGTTTTTGATTTAAATTATTTGTTAATTCAATGTATCTTACGCAAATTCTTTGTTTTCTATTGCTTAATAAGGACCTGATACAACATGGATCCGTAAAATATCAGGTTTCTGCACAGTTAGATTACGAGGACTTTGAAGATTACGTCCAGTATTCTGAAAATAATGTTAATAATAACTTCTTGGAAGAGAATGAGAAAATAGGTACACAAAAGTTAAATACTGAGTTGACTGTCCAAACATTGTTGTATGTATAATATTGTATAATGTATGTATTCATATACTGACAAATAAATATTCAGAAGTGAACTACGTGTTTACTGAAAGATTTTTATTTATACACTTATTTATTTGTTTATTTTTATTTAACTTTCCCTTTTAATTTTAATTAATTACTAACAATATGCTATGTTATCACCTAATTATATTAATCATGTAATATGATCCTTATGGTTCGAAATAAAGTTACTATTATTGTTATTATTATATGTTTGCAATTATTATCAAATTGTAATTAAAATAAACATTAATATTTAAAGAATTCTGTACATCAAAAAACCATTACTTACTTTTAGAAGATCATTTTATCAACAGAGTCAAAAGATACGAAGATATTCGTGCTAAACTTCAAACCCTTAATCCAGAAAAAACGATATTGATAAAAGGTTAGTAAAATTATTATAAAATATTTCTAATATATAATAATTATTTCATAATTAAAAACGCCTAATACATATTCATTTAAGTTAGGTTAGGTATACTTTATAAAATTTTCACCAGGTCTCACAATATTCTACTTTATTATTGTTTGTTTAAGATGCACTATACAAATATTTAGTCGGTCACAGTAATGAAAATGACCTTAAGAGTTCGTTATCAGAAGTTTTACAAAATCAAAATGAGGTATCAAATTCAGTAAGGAATAAACAACAGTCAAAATATAATTTCTTTGATAGTAATGTTGATCAAGAGTTAAATTCCACCTGGATTGATATCGATTTAGAATCTGAAGAAAGAAATTATACTGGAGTTATACCCATCTTTAAGGAGACAAAGACAAACCCAGAGCCTCTAGACAACGCTACATCATTATTAATTATGAACGATACAATATACCGTAGTGATTCTATACCACACATCACACTTGCTACAATTCCTGCAAATATAACCAATTTTAGTGATACAAAAACGCCGTTCCCTGAAACAACAACTTGTTGCAAAGAATCAACTAACGATATATACGTAGGAATATCACAGTTGGCAGCCAATGAATACAAACCTACTTATAGGGAGTTTAATGATGAAGTACCAAGTACTGCACATCCAGAAAATATTAACAGAACAATAGATACATCTCTTGTATCATTTCACGAAAAACCTGTTATGAATGCTATTTCAATGGCCTATGACATAATTGAAGCTTTAAAAGTAGTACCATTGGCACAGAAAAATATAACCCACTCAAAATTATTAACTAGGTCATTTGAAGAAAAAGGTGAAAGACAAGAAGAAAAGAAAGATGTGATTGACGTTTCAAAATTTTTAGATTTGATATCAAACATAAGTGACGCAAATTTGTCGCAGAATTATCGTAGAGCGTCTCAAAGTTCTGCACCGTCATGTTCATACATGTATCCTCCTAATTACGGAACGTCACCAAAGGATGAGTTTGCTGATTACGACGCTAACTATACTGGCACATTGGTGACCAAGGTTAAATCTTCTTTTTGCTTCTATTTTTTAGCACTTCATGACTACTTAATTAGTGATCCGCCTCGGCTTCGCCTGAATCTATTTATGTGACTTACCACCACCATTATTTTAATGATTTCTTATATTTACACGAACACTACACATTGATTAAAACTACTTTTACGGATTTTATCGCGTTTATTTTTTTATTTCGGTTGCTTTCCAGCACCCATGGTCATGGGGGACTGAGGTGACTGATGTAATAGTGGGATTTGATAGACCACAAATCCTCGCAAAAGAACATCGATTCCTACCAAGGATAGTATGTGAGGCTATTGAATTTAAAAACATCCTAATTTCATTAGACAAGGAGAATGGGTATTACTACCTGCTTGAGACACTACACTACAAGACTTAAGGACACAGTAAGTTCATTCTGCGTAGATCAGACCATAAATAATAATTAAAAAGCTGAAGGTACTCCGAGCTAGCACTGACATCGGGACGTCAGTCACCTCAGTCTCCCGTGACTATGGGTGCTGGAAAGCATCCGAAACGTCGGGGATTCAAATGAAATAAATTAAACACGATAAAATCCCTAAAAGCAGTTTTAATCACCATTAATTTAATCAATTTTCGAATTCTCCAAAAATCTCCAAGCTTTTCTGGATAAAATATAGTCTAAATTACTACTCCTGATATTGCTCTCTATATGGTGTTATAGTTTAATCATAGTCGGTTCCGCCATTCCAAAGATCAGCCTGAACAGACAGACAGACAAAAAACAACCTGAGCTCAATAAAAAGCAGTTATTTCGATATTATAGACACATTTTATTTTTATATATATGTACTAGCTTGCCAGGCAGACGTTGTTCTGCCCTTTACCTTTGTTATGTCCTATTAAAAATCCTTAAATTATCAAAAAAAAATTGTGGGACACTCATGGGCAAAAAACTATCTTATCTCTCAAGTTGGACTAAACTGCACACGGTGTGCAAATTTGATTAAAATTGGTTAAGTAGTTTAGGAGTCCATCACGGACAAACAACGTGACACGTAATTTATATATATTAAGATAGAATAAAGTATAGAAAAAACATTGAGATGTTACAGTAGGTATAAAACAAAGTCGCTTCCTGCCGTCTGTACGCTTAGAACTTCTACGCAACGGAGTTTGATGCGGTTTTCATGAAGAGATGGAATTATTTAAGAGGAAGGTTTATATGTATAACATGCTTATCATAGTAGAGGAAAGTCGAGAATTTATAACGCCACCAAGGCAGAGTCAGGGCGGGGTCGCTAGTATTTTAATATAGATTTTTGTCCACACCATCGATACAGAGTCCTTTTGCTTTTGGCAGATGGTTTTTCGTAGCTAAGACTTACTATACCTCTTACAACGTGCCACCAATACAAAAATATAATAACTGTCTACATAGCTACAGTATAGCTTATAAAATGTCCGGTTCACATTTTGAGAAGTGACAAGTGCAAGTGGCAAGTGCAACTGACAAATGACAAGTGCTTAGTGCGAATTTTATTCACACTTATCACTTGTCACTGCCTGCTCACACTCACTAAGCACTTGTCATTTGTCAGTTGCACTTGTCACTCGCACTTGTCACTTCTCAAAATGTAAGCCGGGCGTGAGTCGTGAAAAATTATCATTGTATATTTGACAATCACGTTATTTTTTTTACCCACAGAATACTATAATTTTCACACAGGTGATCAATGCCATTGCTGTCACAGCTTGTTTATCATTTAACAGTCAACAGAAATCAGAATTTATGCAGCACATAAAATGACTTTTCAGATTTTTACTGATTTGCGTTGTATTCGCATTGCAAGGAACCTTCTATCTATAATCGTGAAAAATTTATAATAGTGTACGCCCATCTCTCACTCACTTTTTTTACTACGAGTGAATGTACCTTTAAGTTTATGTGTTTGGGTAGGGCGTTTTAATATAACTTTGATGTAACTCATAACTATAGTCGGGCTCGGTCCGTGAGTGATAACGACTGATGCTGTAATAACAGATCTATATACGAGTTTATGTTTGAGTTACATACCGTATTTTTTATAGAATAAGGTTAACAAACAAACACACAGTCCATCTGATGGTTAGTGGATGTTGTAGCCCATAGAAATCTACATTAATCCTCGATTAGGAATCGAAATTCAGATGCGTTGTCACCACTAAAGACTAAGATGGAACGCCTCGTTTCCAGTAAAACAGCTCGTCGGTTCTCTACACTTACCATATGAAACACAGCAGCATTATGCTGCTATTTTACGCTGGTATTCTGTGGGATTCAGAATAACACAATCAGAACTAACCTGCAAGAAACCATTCTTATAATGATTGAATATCAACAGTGCTATGTTTGCGGATTAGAAGAGAAAAAGATTCCTCGTAATACACATTGTGCAGATGCTTTCTCAGACGACCATTCGTACAGGAAATATATGTACAAATTTCAGAAGTATTGCCGCTATTATGAACACGTGTTAGTATAAAAAATATTTTTATCTTTGTTGTGTCTTTATCAATGTGTAAGAGCATACTGCTGGTCGTAGTCATTGCATAAGTCCATATAATTTCATTGACCATATTGTTCGGCCGCACAAATAGTCGCTTTTGTAAAAATTTGTTGTTAAATTTGTTTTAGAGGAGTAAACAAACGAGGATCCGGCTAATCTCATGATAAGTTAACACTTATAATTCACAGTGTCAAAAGTTGTGTAACCAAGTACTGGTACGGTTAAGACTGTTGATTTTTAAATATTTTAATTTTATTTAAAAATTTATGAGGTGATCCGCAGTAGGAGCAGAGTAGCGCAATGGATCAGTAAACTGAAGGCCAATGGGTTGGGCCGTCATATGGTTCCCAAAGTTGACAACTTATTCTCAAGTCTCGAGTCGAGAAGCGAAGTGTAGGGCCACTCCTCCCCCCTCCCCTCCCCTTACCCCACTAGATGGAGTGTTTCAACGGCTGTACCTACCAAATGCAGCAACGTCATGCAGGCAAACCGACTCCATCCCATTCCCAGAGTTATCTAGTACAATATTAATTACAAGGAAAATTTTGCCTCAAGATAAAATAAATATAATATTTTTTTAATCTTTTTAAACAAGAAAAAGAAGAAATTTCGAGTAGAAACTAACACTTGAAATAATAAGTTTCTTGACTTTTTAATTAGGTGCCTTTGCCTTAACAAATAGTTTTCATCAATTTTGCATATAATTATGCGTTCCTGTATCAGTTAAACTCAGTAAAATGAGAGCAGGTCTTTCAGCTTACGTAAACTTGAAACCCCATCGAGGTCTTTTAGGATTCTCCCCTGGAATATAAACCATGCCTGCTTAGCTGCTTCCATTGAGCTAGCCACGATAAAATGTTGTTTTCCTTTGTACCTGAGTCTACATTGCTATATGTGCATGGGAGTTTTCTTGAGTCAATGTTAAACCTGAACCTATTATTTGTGATAAAGCACGCTGATAGGATGTGAAAATCTTTTGCAAGTATTTTTACAGTTTAGATTGCCCATTTATAAAAAAGTGTGCGGTATAAAACCGAAACTAGGAGAATGATAGAGACAAAAACACAAAGTCGTGTACTATAACTAATATATTAATAAATAAATAGCAATTTAGCTTTGGCAATAATTAGGAACACTTCGAAAATTAACTTAATAAAAACTAACTAATTACGCCATACTAAAATCAAGTTCGTCGTAGATGGCAACCGAACCTCCACCGGAGATTCTTAGCACCCCCTGACCCGCCGTTACCATGGTCGCAATCTCTGAAAACTAAAGTGTACAACCAGTGCGTGTTGCCAGTGATGACTTACGGATCTGAGACGTGGTCCTTCACTGCTGGCCGTATGAGGACGCTCAAGGTCGCTCAGCGAGCTATGGAGAGGGATATGCTCGGAGTTTCTCTGCGTGATAGACTCAAAAATGAGGATATCCGCAGTAAAACCAGAGTGACCGACATAGCCCAACGGATTAGTAAGCTGAAGTGGCAATGAGCCGGCCATATAGCTCGAAGAACCGATAACCGATGGGGAAGAAAGGTTCTCGAGTGGCAGCCTCGTACCGGTAGGCGTAGTGTAGGGCGACCCCCCACTAGATGGAGTGACGACCTGGTAAGACATGCAGGAAGTCGATAGATGCAGGTGGCTCAGGACCGTGCTTTGTGGCATTACTTGGGGGAGGCCTATGTTCAGCAGTGGAATTGTGAAGGGCTGTAATGATGATGATGATGAAAATCGACTAAAATATTTACTGTAACCGTTAAAATGGGGTACCAACTGTTAAAATGGAACCAAAAGAGCTGTCTCCTTTTGACTCTTTATTATTTGATTAACTGATGAAGAGCTAGCGTATCATCATACAGCCTTCTATGCAAATAAGGTTTTTGAGTTATAAGGTGACCATAGTAACCGGATGACGATATTACTCTCACGTACTATACCAAATATCTCTCAGACCGCAATTCCTATCCTTAGAATCAACAACTTCTACTTTTCGAAATAATGTTGTTTTTAAAAAAAAATCTGTATTTTCACTATTCTGCACCTTTTGAAGGACTCGCGAAGCGCGGTGTTGTGTCACAGTATTTGCAACATTATTAATTATTGCGGTATATTTACAGAGTAATATCAAACAGAAAGCAAAAGTAATAGATATTTTATTTTGTATGAAAATTTTTTTGGTAAGTTTATTGTCTGAAAGATTTTTGGGTATTTTTAAATTAACCCCGTATATTGCATAAATATATTAATTTAGTAACAATTATTTCAACAAAATTCTCTAAAACAAAACAAATGAAAACTCCAAATGTTGATATCTTAGCTGGATTTTAGTGGCTTGAATACTTTTTGCGTAACAGTGCGTACACAATTGCGTGATTAAAAAAAATGGCTTTCGGACTAAAAACGCAGAACTAACAAATCACATGAGGTTGACGGAGAGCCAATTTATTATTAGATGCCTTCGCCTTTAATAATATTACAATTTATACTATAATTTTATAATATCTCTAAAACATTTATTCGCATTTATTGTTTAGGAAAAATTATTGTGTCACTTCACACGACCAAAAGTCGATATGGGGACACTTTACTGGAGGGTGCTCTTGGCGCATGATAGACATTAGTGATATCTACACACAAAGGACCTGCAGGAGTCGCCAGAAACCCATCATGGGCCGACACTTTGCAAGTCATCGAATGGCCAAACTCGAACTGACTCTTGCTGTAAGTGGTGGTGTTATATAATATTTTAACTTGTTCTATCTATAATTTCAAGACGCATGTCACATTTTTAAATACTATTAGGGAAATAGTGATGCACACTGGAATTTATGGTTGGTTGAATGGTTAAAGAGCCGTGTTAGCTCAGATGGTTAACGCTCGCTGTAAATATAACAGAACGCGAGTAACCCGGGTTCGATCCCCGCCGGCACCAATGAAATTGTTAATTGCAATTTTTAAGTGCTGATTTACTACGTGCTCGGCGGTGAAGGAAAACATCGTGAGGAAACCTGCATGTCTAAGGAATAAGGAAAAAAATATTTCGAAGACATGTGAAGTTCGCCAACACGCATTGGGGCAGCGCGGCGGACACTTTCTTGCCCTAAAACCCTCTCAGAAAGCCTGTGCCCAGCAGTGGGGTGTATATTGGCTGTAACTTTACTTTTACTTTACTGGAATTTATGGGCACGATCGTCAGATAATACTTTTATATATATGGAAGTACGTGTTGGAGCAACGGTGCTTGGTAAACTATTTACTAATCTGTGACGGTGCAGCGTACGGCTCGACCGGGGATGGTCTCATAGAAAACCAGTGTTATAGTTATAGAGACATAAGGCTTTTAAGCTGGTTGTGTTCGTGTGTTCGTTTGTTATCCTTATTTGTATAAAAATTTTGTTACTGTTACAGGGTATGGAAGACGGTTGTATTACGAGTCCAAGCGCGTCGCTGGTGCCTCTGTCACGCAGCGTTTCTCTGTACGCTCGTTTCATTGCTTGTGTGTGTACAGGAGATTTCTGCAATGCTGGTACTTCTCACCTCATATATCGTGGAAGATATACAAATTTCTTTACGATTCTGATTATTCTAAAAACTCTTTGTTAATTTTTCAAAACATCCTTTACTTTAAGTGAGCAGTTCTTGTACACATATAAATTGGATTTTAGGAAACTATTCTAACGATTTGGGTGATTTTTTTTTATTTAATTAATGTTTTATTTTCCGAATTTATTTTGATAGGTGTAATCTCTGAGAATATTTTATTTTTTTACGTCAAGCAAAGCTACCGTGGATTCTAAGCCGTCTTTTGTATTGTAGAATTGTTAACCGCAAGCATTATGACTTAATTGAAGTAATTAAAGGAACACTAGTAACTATATGGTTTTGTTATTTTATTGCCAGTATTCTTTAATAAATTGAACTCGTTTTAACCTAATTCGTCCCAACAAATTTCAATCTGATCCGAGCTTTTCTAAGAATTTCAAAGATTTTTTTTATTGTTTTAACGAACAAACTACTAAGGCGCGTGACAGGTGTCACTAAACACTCATTTTTGTATTTTTTTTTTGTAATATTAAGCGTAAAACACAATAATAATTGTTTTAATAAATGAAAGACAAAGTGTTATATTACAGATTATTTTATTTCATTATGTTTTTATATCATTTCAATAGAATTAGACCCTAAACGTGGTAGAGTCATGCTACAGCCACCTACATCATGGTTGCAGCACAAATGAGTGGGCCCGACCGGGGAAGGACCACGATCTCAGAATACAAGCGTGAAACAACAGAATAATGCTACTGTGTTTGTTTGAGAATCGGAGACCCGTTTAACTGGTGAAGAGGCATTCCACTTGTGAGGACTTGTGACAACGCATCTGCATTTCGATTCGTAATCGAGGATAGATGTAGATGTCTATGGGTCGTAGCAACCACTTACCATCAGGTGGACTGTGTGCTCGTTTGTCACCCTATCCTATTTAATAAAAAATAAGGCAGTCCCCCCTATAAAGCAATCTATAGGGGAGGCCTATGTTCAGCAGTAACGGCAGCGGTAAGTTGGATAGGACTACTTTTCTGTACATGAGTTCATCTGGCTGGGTATCAAGGTATCATCGTCTTACCTACCACCTAGTAGCAGAGTACCTACAGCTATGTTTATAGAATACTATAATACATAATAGAATGGCCGTCAACTTAGGTACTTACTTTTACGGTTAACAGCGTCCACTAATTTCTTTTGTCCATTATTGCGTTTGAGGTTAAACACAAAATCGTTTCACTTAAAATATACTTATCTCGTACTTGCAGGGTTAACCAAGTTGACATATTACAATCGTTAAGGCTATATTTCGGAGTTTCTCTGCGTGATAAACTTAGAAACGGGGATATCCGCAATAGAACCAGAGTAACCGTACCATAACCCAACCCAACATTACTAAACTGAAGTGTCAACGAGCCTGCCATATAGCTCGAAGAACCGGAAGGAAGGAAGAAAGGTTCTCGGGTGGCAGCCTCGTTCAGATAGCCGAAGTGTTTGATGTCCCCCCCACTAGATGGAGTCACGACATGATAAGATATGCAGGAAGTCGATGGATACTCAAGACCGTGCTTTGTGGCATTCCTTGGGGGAGGGCTATGTTCAACAGTGGGCTGTAATGATGATGATGATGATGATGAAAAGTAACGAGAACAATAAGTTACGTGACTTATTATTGTTTGACGTTATTCCCATCCAATACGACATTAATTCTATTCATGATTATTACAGTAAATCCTCTATTTATTTTATAATTTTCTATTAGCGTTAAACATCATAGAAAACCAACTTGGTTAACTCGCCGTACTTAGAGGCGATAAAGAAAAATTTAACGAGAAATGGGCAGCAACACCTTACTGAAACAACTGAAAATAAACAATAAAGCTGAGCTTGCCAACCCGCCCAAAACCGGTAACTTGACAAATATTCCCCCAATGAGACAATCTATGGGGAGGCCTATGTTCAGTAGTAAACTTTTGATAAAATTAAAGTTGCTGCCTATATACATCCCACTGCTGGGCACAGGCATTCTCTCATTTCTGAGAGGGTTTTAGTGCAAGGAAGTGTCCGCCGCGCTGCCCCAATGCGTGTTGGCCAACTCCACATGTCTTCGAAATATTTTTTTTATTTCTCAAACAGGTCTTCTCACGACGTTTTCGTTCACCACCGAGCACTTGGTAAAACTTTTACCAGGTGGTTTAACTTTTGATAGGCTGTAATGAATGATTGATGAACTCAATTATGAAATAATAAAATAAAAAATAAAATATTTTGCCGTCTCATGCGTAAATAAGTACATTAAATTATGGTTTAAAATATTACATTCGGGAAAGCCTATGCCTTGCAATGGCCTAACTATTGTTTGTTTTTTATTATTATTAAACTAGCCTTACTCTTGAACTCCATCCGTTTTGCCCGAGGGCAAAGATGAGGTCTACGATGGAGCGGGTTTGCCCAGGAGAAGCCTGTTAACACGCACTGTTTTTTATGGCTTAGGAAAAACTATTCCTTCTAATATATATAGTATGGTGAGTGTAGAGAATCGATGACTCTTTTTACTGGAATCGAGGCATTCCATCTTAGTCCTCAGGGGTTACAACGCATTTGCATTTTAATATTTGGTTAAAGATATATATGGATATCTATGGGCCAAAGCATTCACTTACCATCAGGTGGACTTTGTGCTCGTTTCTCACCCTATACTATAAAAAATATCATCCTTGGTAGGAATCGATGTTCTTTTGCGAAGATTTGTAGTTTATCTAATCTGATGCAGTTGTTGGGACGATCTTGAACGTGTTCACAGACTGCAGACTTCCCTGAACGTCGGTGCTTCACGTCAGCGATATGTCTTCTTCTTGAAAGGATTTTATGGCAAGGAAGTGTCCGTCACGCTGTCCTAATGCGTTGTATGTTGGTGGACCATACATTACTTAGATTTTTTTTAGATTTCTCAGACATGCAGGTATCTTCACGATGTTTTACTTCATCATCGAACCCGTGGCCACCTTATGCTCATCGTGTCACAATATATATATATATATATATATATATATATATATATATATATATATATATATATATATATATATATATATATCTTGCAGATAAGCAATATCCATCCATTAAAGCCTATAAAAGTCTGCTACTTAACATAGGCCTCAAGATTTCGTCTTAGGGGGGATTTTGCCATAGTTGCCACGCTTAGCAGGCATATTGGCAACCACAGGTTTTTTTAATAATTTTAAGTAATTATCAGGAAGATGCTACTGTCCAACTTTTTTATAGAATAGAATAATAATATTTTTATAGGAACTGGATGCTGTGGTCTATAGACATCTACATTTATCCTCAATTAAAAATCCAAATGCAGATGCGTTGTCACACCTGAGAACTAATGTCTAGTTTTCAGAAAAAAGGGTCTCCGGTTCTCTACATTTACCATATGAAACGCAGCAGCGCTAAGCTGCTATTTTACGCTGGTATTCAGTGAGAGCGTGGCCCTTCCCCGGTCGAGCCGACCCATTCGTGCTACAACCAAAATACAAATGCAGCGTGGCTCTACCACGTGTAAAACTATGACGTCTATAAATATACATGTGGTAGTAGGCAGGAAGGGACCGTGAATTTGTGGGACCCTGGGCTAACAGTACTTGGGGTCCTACCAAATTAATCATACTAATCAAGTCAAAAAACTGTTTTCTATAATGATGTATACGGTCTGAAAAAAAATTATATGGCTTGGATACACAAACAGCAAGTGTAAGACAATATTGCATAAGAAATAACAGGTTATGGGTTATTGTTAAATAAATTATAAAGACTTTTCTAGATTTTTGCGGTGCAAATTCCTTTATTTTCTCATCACATTGTCAGTTCTTTGTTAAATCATAATTCATGAAAAGAACTGATAAATTATGTAGTCAATTGCTCAACATTGATTGACCTATATTTGTTTTCTAAAGACATTCTGGAGAAACAGTGTTCCGCTTCATAGCTAGTGCTTGACAACGTTAAAATCTCTTTATGATAGCAAAGCGATTTGGGAAAACATCAACAAGTTTCTTTTCACTAATTAGCATAAACATTTCACTGCAAGAGTAAGACTCTAGCTTAGATTTTAGTAAGATTTTAACCGAATTCACTAATTCACTAAATGTTCGTCTACGTCATCTGGAAGTAATATATAAGTCAATGTATCTGGATAATAATCAATAACATTAGATCAATAACAATTAACGTTAGAGCTGTTCGAATCGTTGACGACCGAGCTCTTTCCGATCGGCTTGACTCACTGGCACTGCGAAGAGATCTTGCATCTCTTTTAAAGTTGTTAAAAAGGACTATAAATCAATAGCACGCTACAGACTATAAACTATAAATTTCTAGCGCACTTTTAAATACGCTATATTATAGCGAGCTATTTGGAGCGAGGCCGGCTGTAAAGTTTTACAGCACGCTAAATTTCGTAGCACGTTACATTACAAGTCGTTCGTTGGATAGACCGCGTGCTATATAAGAAAATTATTTTCTAATGTCACATTTTACACGAAAATAAGATAAAGCATTAGTAAAACTAATGAACAATCAACAATGAACAATAACGTTTGCATCTATAATCGATGTAAACGTTATTTTAACCTTAATGTAAATTTTAAATCGATTAAATAGGTTTGTACAATCAATAAAAAGTTATTGATTGTATATACAAAAATCAACTATTTAGATACGCTATTGTATACACTTTTGTATCTATATTTTATTTATATTTAAATACATTAGTTCGACTTATTTTGTAGCAGATAACCATGTCCTTCGATCACTTATAAATATACAGTATAAACTAACTAAATAATATCTAACACTAAATTCGGTCGCGCTCTATAAATAGCGTGCTGCTAGAGCAAATTTGCATCACACGTGAACTCCCAACAGCGCTGCTGCTAGAACTAATTTCCACTAGATATTAACAGCGCCAAAGTGCCATAGCGCCATAGCGACTACTACTCACATAGCACGCGCTATGTGCTATGGAAAGATAGCGCTCTATAATATGGCGCTATGCGCTATATTAACCACCATTAGTCTCTTTGCGTATTTTATCGCATCTACCACGGGAAGTGCTCTGAGGAATTGTTCGGGCTAATTCCAGCCACACTAATTCACCATCGCATATCGCGACAAAATCCCGTCATCGACGCATCCACACCATCTGGATGGCTGGCGGTCCCCCACCGTGCGATTTAAAAGAAGAATTCTTCCTCGCAAAACTTTCTTATGGAATCGACTACCACCAGAGATTTTCCCGGAACGATACGACTTAGAGACCTTCAATAAAAGAGCCTACTCCTTAAAAGGCCGACAACGGATCTGCAATGGTGTTGCAGTTTTTCATGGGCGGTGGTAATCACTTACCATCAGGTGAGCCGTATGCTCGTTTGCACCCTCTCCTATAAAAAAACGGCAGCCTCAATTGTTTGATTTGATGAAAGCACTCAGAGGAAACGTTTAAAACTTGGCTTTACTGCATCATCGATGGGAAGTACTAATTCCATTAGCTTCCGGTTATATTGATTCAGCAGAAACACAAGAGACTGAATGCCATCACCATCGCAAAAAAATCCGTAAATCGGAATGAAAAGGAGTTCTACTGTCCATTATTTATAGAGTTTATTCAAGAAATTGTTGATTTAGGCCATGGTAATTGGGTTTCAGAATTTCCTCGCGCATAAAATAGACAGCCTACCTACTATATGCCGACACTAGCTGTTCTGCGGCCAGACGCCGCGACCACGAAATTCAGACTGGTTATCAATTATAGTCACCCCTCGTCACCAGGTTTGAGTCTAAATGATATACTGTAGGTAGGGCCTGTTGTACGACCTGATCTAGTGACGATCCTAATTCGATTCAGATGTCACAAATACGCATTCATATGCGACATTAAGAAAATGTACCGAAAAATTAACATTAAAAAGTTCAGTCAGTCGCTGCAAAGAGTGCTCTGGCGCGACAGTCCGCAGGATGAATTAAAGTGCTTTCAGCTAAGAACAGTCACATACAGGACTGCCCCTGTTAGTTTTCTGGCCACTCGTACATTGCGTGATTGCAGAATTGCACAGTCTCTTATCAATGATTTAGTGGATTAATGGGACCTGGTTGTTTCAAACTTCATAAGTTTTATTCTAATTCAACCACATTGTTTAATCATACTCGTATTCCAGAGGAAAAGAGACAAACCTGTAAAAGTTCAAATGTGCAAAAGTTCTTCGGCGATGACGATTCTACCCTTAAAACACTGGGGCTCTTGTGGGATCCACTAAAAACACAAAGCGCAATATCCTTGCATGTATTGCCAAAATATATGATCCTATGGGGTTCATAGGTCTCGTGACTATGCAAGCTAAATTGATCATGCAAGCGATTTGGTGTGAAAACATCGGCTGGAATGATGATGTTTCAGACGAAATACTCACGTCCTGGAAAGATAAATGCTGCAGTTATATTAGTAGTACACATGTAGCACGATTGGGTCGGCTAGACCGGAGAAGGACCACGCTCTCACAAAATACCAGCGTAAAATGGTAGCTTAATGCTGCTGTGTTTCGTATGGTGAGTGTAGAGAACCGGAGACCCTTTTTACTGGAAACTTTTTTTACGGGTGAAAACGCATCTGCATTTTAATTCGTAATAAAGCATAGATGTTGATGTGTATGGGCCACAGCAACGAATTACTACTATCAGGTGAACTGTGTGCTCGTTTGTCACCCTATGCTATAAAAAAATCAATGATAGAAAGTATATTAACAATAATGATGAAATTTAATATTTAAGGTATATTAGATTTCATCATTATAATGTATTAAAGCTACATGTATTTCTAGCCTAAATAATCCTTCTCGTGGAGACTAAACGCAATGATATTTACTTTTTGCTGAAACTTTTTGCATGTAAGAATACCAATAGATCGTTATTGAAACCTACGAGACGTCACTGTCAGGAATATAGATTAAAATTTTAGGTACACTTCTTCATTTTCTCTGTTTTTGATTTAAATTATTTGTTAATTCAATGTATCTTGCGCAAATTCTTTGTTTTCTATTGCTTAATAAGGACCTGATACAACATGGATCCGTAAAATATCAGGTTTCTGCACAGTTAGATTACGAGGACTTTGAAGATTACGTCCAGTATTCTGAAAATAATGTTAATAATAACTTCTTGGAAGAGAATGAGAAAATAGGTACACAAAAGTTAAATACTGAGTTGACTGTCCAAACATTGTTGTATGTATAATATTGTATAATGTATGTATTCATATACTGACAAATAAATATTCAGAAGTGAACTACGTGTTTACTGAAGGATTTTTATTTATACACTTATTTATTTGTTTATTTTTATTTAACTTTCCCTTTTAATTTTAATTAATTACTAACAATATGCTATGTTATCACCTAATTATATTAATCATGTAATATGATCCTTATGGTTCGAAATAAAGTGATTATTATTGTTATTATTATATGTTTGCAATTATTATCAAATTGTAATTAAAATAAACATTAATATTTAAAGAATTCTGTACATCAAAAAACCATTACTTACTTTTAGAAGATCATTTTATCAACAGAGTCAAAAGATACGAAGATATTCGTGCTAAACTTCAAACCCTTAATCCAGAACAAACGATATTGATAAAAGGTTAGTAAAATTATTATAAAATATTTCTAATATATAATAATTATTGCATAATTAAAAACGCCTAATACATATTCACTTAAGTTAGGTTAGGTATACTTTATAAAATTTTCACCAGGTCTCACAATATTCTACTTTATTATTGTTTGTTTAAGATGCACTATACAAATATTTAGTCGGTCACAGTAATGAAAATGACCTTAAGAGTTCGTTATCAGAAGTTTTACAAAATCAAAATGAGGTATCAAATTCAGTAAGGAATAAACAACAGTCAAAATATAATTTCTTTGATAGTAATGTTGATCAAGAGTTAAATTCCACCTGGATTGATATCGATTTAGAATCTGAAGAAAGAAATTATACTGGAATTATACCCATCTTTAAGGAGACAAAGACAAACCCAAAGCCTCTAGACAACGCTACATCATTATTAATTATGAACGATACAATATACCGTAGTGATTCTATACCACACATCACACTTGCTATAATTCCTGCAAGTATAACCAATTTTAGTGATACAAAAACGCCGTTCCCTGAAACAACAACTTGTTGCAAAGAATCAACTAATGATATATACGTAGGAATATCACAGTTGGCAGCCAATGAACACATACCTACTTATAGGGAGTTTAATGATGAAGTACCAAGTACTGCACATCCAGAAAATATTAACAGAACAATAGATACATCTCTTGTATCATTTCACGAAAAACCTGTTATGAATGCTATTTCAATGGCCTATGACATAATTGAAGCTTTAAAAGTAGTACCATTGGCACAGAAAAATATAACCCACTCAAAATTATTAACTAGGTCTAAAGCCGATCATACATTTGAAGAAAAAGGTGAAAGACAAGAAGAAAAGAAAGATGTGATCGACGTTTCAAAATTTTTAGATTTGATATCAAACATAAGTGACGCAAATTTGTCGCAGAATTATCGTAGAGCGTCTCAAAGTTCTGCACCGTCATGTTCATACATGTATCCTCCTAATTACGGAACGTCACCAAAGGATGAGTTTGCTGATTACGACGCTAACTATACTGGAACATTGGTGACCAAGGTTAAATCTTCTTTTTGCTTTTATTTTTTAGCACTTCATGACTACTTAATTAGTGATCCGCCTCGGCTTCGCCTGAATCTATTTATGTGACTTACCACCACCATTATTTTAATGATTTCTTATATTTACACGAACACTACACGTTGATTAAAACTACTTTTACGGATTTTATCGCGTTTATTTTTTTTATTTCGGTTGCTTTCCAGCACCCATGGTCATGGGGGACTGAGGTGACTGATGTAATAGTGGGATTTGATAGACCACAGATCCTCGCCAAAGAACATCGATTCCTACCAAGGATGGTATGTGAGGCTGTTGAATTTAAAAACATCCTAATTTCATTAGACAAGGAGAATGGGTATTACTACCTGCTTGAGACACTACACTACAAGACTTCAAGACACAGTAAGTTCATTCTGCGTAGATCTGACCATAAATAATAATTAACCCTTAAATGCATGACATACCCAATATCATTGGAAAAAATATATGTTGTGTAAAATGGTTTATAGATGCTGGAAAAAATAAAATAAAAAATCATTATTCAATATAATTAGTTTTATTTTGAAAAATATTCTGGTATCATTTTTGATACAACATGCAAAAAACTACAATTTTATTCTCAGTTCTATTGTGTACTACTTCCGTTAATTGACTTATTGTTAATTATTGCAAAGCACTAATGTGCAACCAAATGATCACAAAAATATGTCCTATAGATGAAAATCATTAAAACAGTCAGTTGTTTTTTTGTTAGAACACAAATACACCTTACATTTTAGACACATAATACTACTCAGCAGTTTGCAGCCTGGGTTCATGCACCTCATACGATTTTGTTGCCTCGATTGAATATGATCCACTCCATCGTACCGAACATCTCTCGAGGGCATTACCTGCTGGATGTTTTTCCTTTTAGGTGCTGGCTCCTCCGAAAAGTTTCGGCTTGGTCGACCTCGTGAAGGTACAACATGTTCGCCATATTTGCAGAGAGCATCCGCCAATTCAGCTCTAAACTCTGCCAGATTCAAAACCTGCTTAGGGTTCAAATTCTTTTTAGCAGAGACTTTCTTATATAATATCCAGGAGTTAATTACTGATAGGTCGAGTAAGTGGTAAAAAATTCGCATGTACCATTTCCGAGACTTTACTTTTATGTGATACCTGCCTAGGAAAGAGTCCATGAGGTCTACTCCACCCATGTGTGCGTTGTATTCCTTTATTATTTTTGGACATGGTATGGGCACCTTTTTTCTTTTGGTTTTTGTCATATCTTTCAATCGTTTCTACAGGTTCAGCGCCAATATAAGTGGAAAGTAAGGTCACCTGCTTGTTATCTTTCCAACTGATCGCAGAAAAATCCACACCATCGAGACTTGTCGTGTTTTCAACGTAGGATCCTCGGGGTACATTACTGTTCATTACTTCTTTCTTTTTAGGCAACTTACAAGACTTTCCTAGACGGTTTAGCTGCACCGTACCTAAGCACCATATGCCTTCCTTCGCCATGTAATACATTAGTGGTAATGAAGTGTAATAGTTATCGAAGTATATTACATGGTTCATCATTCTTGGGACTCTTCTAGTTAACTTTATTACTGTATTACCGGTCACTCCAATATCAGGTTCATTACTACGCATTGGTTCTTTGTCTGTTCCACTATATATTATGAAATCATAGCAATATCCTGCCAAGGAACACAACGCAAAAAGCTTGAACCCCCACTTGTGGGGTTTATTGGGTAAATATTGTTTCAAGAAATGGCTGATTTTTGTTGCGCACATTTGTTCGTCAACTGAAAGGCGTTGTTCCATTGGAACACTAGAAAATTTCATTGTCAGATGATCTATAATGGGTCTTAGTTTGTGAAGTTTATCATGGTCGGGGCTACCAACTGGTTTGTGTGTCGGGGCTACCAATGCTTCTTACTTTTTCAAATTTGTTGACAGGCATTGCTTCTATTATTGGTCTAAATCCAAATTTACTGCTCCAATACGATCTAACGCTTGGGTAGCGATAGACAGACATGAATATCAATATTCCCAAATATTTTCGAAGTTCTGTAAGGCTTATTTGAACGGGGCGATCAATATTGGTCTGCGTCGAATATTTATTGGTTTCTTCAACAATTTTTTTCAACAAGTCTTCTGAAAAGTACTGTGAAAAGAACTGCAGTGGGGTTTCTAGTTTCATTAGTTCAGGTCCTAATTCTGTACTACCCAAGAAAGCAATTGATTCCTCTTTATACTCCAAAGAGCGTTTTTTCCAAATCAAATTTCGTGTATTTATTTGCGGAAATACATTAGACCGAGAAGTCGAAGCTTGTTGATAGATTTCTTCATGAACCAGGGGGAGGATCCGGGCATTCTTCAGTTTCAGGCACTTCCTCTTCATCACTTACTTCTTTATCTTCGAGTACGGCTTGTAGATCTTTGCGAGACGGATAGAAATCCAAGTCATCCTCATCTGATTCGGCATCGTCTTCTGAAATTTCGCCAGCCTCTAACCGCATTAGCATATTTTCTATATCATCGTCTTTCAATTTCTTTCTTGTAGTTCTGCAACAAATTTGTAAAGTTCAAAGAAGCGTAAATAAAAACAAAAACGCGAAAATCATCAACATGCATAGAAATATTTTTTATGCCTAAGTGCATGGTGTCTCATTTTCGATACAAACTAAAAACTCTTTTGTTTATGAGAGAAATCAATTTTTTCGTAAAAAATACATAAACCTACTATAAACACAAACACTTACCTTGACATTGTATATTTTTTTTTGATATAATTTGTCTCAAATCCACTCCGATTCGTCTGGATAAAGTTAGAATTTTTCACAAAAACATTCACTCGCTGACAAGAATACTTTTGACAGCTACGAAACAAATATGGTGGACCAATACGAGAAACTTTGTTTTTTTTTCCGATAGACAAATAGTCTAAGGGCATCGTAACATACAGCCTAATAAAAACAAACAATTGGCTTTAAGTTTTAGTTAAAAAATCTCAACGTATCGTTTTTGATACATTATGCATTTAAGGGTTAAAAAGCTGAAGGTACTCCGAGCTAGCACTGACATCGGGACGTCAGTCACCTCAGTCTCCCGTGACTATGGGTGCTGGAAAGCATCCGAAACGTCGGGGATTCAAATGAAATAAATTAAACACGATAAAATCCCTAAAAGCAGTTTTAATCACCATTAATTTAATCAATTTTCGAATTCTTCAAAAATCTCCAAGCTTTTCTGGATAAAATATAGTCTAAATTACTACTCCTGATATTGCTCTCTATATGGTGTTATAGTTTAATCATAGTCGGTTCCGCCATTCCGAAGATCAGCCTGAACAGACAGACAGACAGACAAAAAACTCCAGTCCAGCTCTCAAGTTGGACTAAACTGCACACGGTGTGCAAATTTGATTAAAATCGGTTTAGTAGTTTAGGAGTCCATCACGGACAAACAACGTGACACGTAATTTATATATATTAAGATAGAATAAAGTATAGAAAAAACATTGAGATGTTACAGTAGGTATAAAACAAAGTCGCTTCCCGCCGTCTGTTCGCTTAGAACTTCTACGCAACGGAGTGTGATGCGGTTTTCATGAAGAGATGGAATTATTTAAGAGGAAGGTTTATATGTATAACATGCCTATCATAGTAGAGAAAAGTCGAAAATTTATAACGCCACCAAGGCGGAGTCAGGGCGGGGTCGCTAGTATTTTAATATAGATTTTTGTCCACACCATCGATACAGAGTCCTTTTGCTTTTGGCAGATGGTTTTTCGTAGCTAAGACTTACTATACCTCTTACAACGTGCCACCAATACAAAAAATATAATAACATAGCTACAGTATAGCTTATAAAATGTCCGGTTTACATTTTGAGAAGTGACAAGTGCAAGTGGCAAGTGCAACTGACAAATGACAAGTGCTTAGTGCGAATTTTATTCACACTTATCACTTGTCACTGCCTGTTCACACGCACTAAGCACTTGTCATTTGTCAGTTGCACTTGCCACTCGCACTTGTCACTTCTCAAAATGTAAGGCGGGCGTGAGTCGTGAAAAATTATCATTGTATATTTGACAATCACGATATTTTTTTTACCCACAGAATACTATAATTTTCACACAGGTGATCAATGCCATTGCTGTCACAGCTTGTTTATTATTTAACAATCAACAGAAATCAGTATTTATGCAGCACATAAAATGACTTTTCAGATTTTTACTGATTTGCGTTGTATTCGCATTGCAAGGAACCTTCTATCTATAATCGTGAAAAATTTATAATGGTGTACGCCCATCTCTCACTCACTTTTCTTACTACGAGTGAATGTACCTTTAAGTTTATGTGTTTGGGTAGGGCGTTTTAATATAACTTTGATTTAACTCATAACTATAGTCGGGCTCGGTCCGTGAGTGATGACGACTGATGCTGTAATAACAGATCTATATACGAGTATATGGCTGTGATAAATTCTACTACAAAGAGCGCAAAAGGTTACATACCGTATTTTTATAGAATAAGGTTAACAAACAAACACACAGTCCATCTGATGGTTAGTGGATGTTGTAGCCCATAGAAATCTACATTAATCCTCGATTAGGAAGCGAAATTCAGATGCGTTGTCACCACTAAAGACTAAGATGGAATGCCTCGTTTCCAGTAAAACGGCTCGTCGGTTCTCTACACTTACCATATGAAACACAGCAGCATTATGCTGCTATTTTACGCTGGTATTCTGTGGGATTCAGAATAACACAATCAGAACTAACCTGCAAGAAACCATTCTTATAATGATTGAATATCAACAGTGCTATGTTTGCGGATTAGAAGAGAAAAAGATTCCTCGTAATACACATTGTGCAGATGCTTTCTCAGACGACCATTCGTACAGGAAATATATGTACAAATTTCAGAAGTATTGCCGCTACTATGAAAACGTGTTAGTATACAAAATATTTTTATGTTTGTTGTGTCTTTATCAACGTGTAAGAGCATACTGCTGGTCGTAGTCATTGCATAAGTCCATATAATTTCATTGGCCATAAAATTGCTTACTTCGGCCAAAAGCACTACAAATAGTCGCTTTTGTAAAAATTTGTTGTTAAATTTGTTTTAGAGGAGTAAACAAACGAGGATCCGGCTAATCTCATAATAAGGTAGCACTTATAATTCACAGTGTCAAAAGTTGTGTAACCAAGTACTGGTGTGGTTAAGACTGTTGATTTTTAATTTTATTTAAAAATTTATGAGGTGATCCGCAGTAGGAGCAGAGTAGCGCAATGGATCAGTAAACTGAAGGCTAGTGGGTTGGGCCGTCATATGGTTCCCAAAGTTGACAACTTATTCTCGAGTGTCGAGTCGAGAAGCGAAGTGTAGGGCTCACTCCTCCCCCCCCTCCTCTTCCCCACTAGATGGAGTGTTTCAACGGCTGTACCTACCAAATGCAACAACATCATGCAGGCAAACCGACTCCATCCCATTCCCAAAGTTATCTAGTGGAATATTACTTACAAGAAAAATTTTGCCTCAAGATAAAATAAATATAAAACATAACATAAACACTCACGCCTGTCACCCAGAGGGGTAGGCAGAGCCTACAGACTTACATTTGGCACGAGCCTGACACACCTCTCTCGCCGCCTTCACATCCATACCTCTACGCATGCATGCTCGTCGGTTAAGGGTACTCCTAATTTGGCCCGTTTTCAATAAATCGCCAATTTGGTCGATAAATTTTCGCCTAGGACGTCCCTTTCCGACTCTGCCATTCACTTCTGCAACATAAATTTTCTTTGTCACTCTTTCCTCATCCATTCTTTCCACATGACCAAACCACCGAAGCATTGCTTTCTTAATCCTGGTCACAACATCATCTTGCAAACCACACTCTTCTCTTATCACACAATTCTTCACCCTGTCATTCAGATTCAGCCCTAACATACTCCTTAACGACCGCATTTCTACTGCATTTATTCTACTCTCGTGCTTCTTCTGCCACACCCAACTTTCACTACTATACGTTAAAGTAGGGACCAACACAGCATTGTGAATTGCCATACGTGCCTTTTTTGACACATTTTGACTCTTCACAATAGAGTGCAGGGCCCCATTTACTCTGTGTCCTGCGTTCACTCGTCGTTCTATATCCTTATCATATCTCCCATCCCTGCTAAATACGCAACCCAAATATACAAACTCATCTACTTGCTCGATCAACTCCCCTTCTATTCTTATTTCACATATCGTTTTACTTTCATCTCTTTCAAAAACCATAATTTTCGTCTTACTTGCGTTCACTTTCATACAGTTTCTTTTAATGATCTGTTCATTAATGTAACCATCATTTGCAACTCAGCCGCCGACGACGCAAGAATAACTTGATCATCGGCGTACAAAAGGCATTTGATGGTTAACTCACCTATTCTTAATCCGCATTCTTCAACTTTCAAATTTTGCAAACAACTGTCCATAAATAGGTTGAAAAACCACGGGGAAGCCACACAGCCCTGTCTGACACCTTTATGGATGCCAAACCAGTCGGAGTAGACCCCGTTGATCCTAACACAAGCACTAGAGTCCCTATAAAGAGATTCCAATGCCTGTATCAAGCCAGCGCTCAACCCAAATGAGTTCAGTGTTTGCCATAGCACATTCCTATCCACTCTGTCATAGGCCTTCTCCAAGTCCATGAACGCACAAAAAACCTTTTGGTTTTTGGCCAAAAAAATTTCCCCGATCATGCGCATGGAGAAGACTTGATCTGTACATCCCATTCCCTTTCTAAATCCCGCTTGCACATCCCAAATTTTTCCATCGGTTTCTTTCATGACCCTTTCAATTAGTACCTTGGCATACAATTTTCCCACGATGCTAAGAAGGCTGATACCGCGGTAGTTTTTACAGTCCTGCTGCGACCCTTTTCCCTTATATACTGGGACTATCACGGCTTTGCACCAGTCTCCCGGTGCCCGCTTTAGTTCCCAGCATACTTTAAACAAGGTGTGCAGCAGGCCTGCCACCACTTCCTCTCCAGCCCTTAGCATTTCGAGTGAAACTCTATCATAACCGGCAGCCTTACCTGCTTTTATGCTTTTCATTGCTTTCATTATTTCATCTATACTTATCTCGCTACCTCCTTTCTCTTCTTTCGGAGTTCCTATTTCATTCAGTTCATACGTTGTCTCCTCACTCATAAACATGCTTTCAAAATATTCCTTCCATCTCTTTAAACTCAAAACTTCATCATTCAGAATATAGCCATTGTCATCTCTTATAGCATTAATTATAGGCTGTTTTGAACGTCCCCTGGCAGTTCTTACGAGTTTCCAGAACATTTTAATATTTGCCTGGAAGTTATCCGATATTCTTCTATCATTCTTATCCGTTCTTTCTTGCTTTTTCCTTTCAACTACTTCTTTTACTCTTTTATTTAGATGTCTAAAGACTGCCTTTTTTCTTTCAAAATCATCATTCGTACCGCTAGAATTACCAGCCTTAGTTGCTAGTAAATCTAGCCATGCTCTCTTCTTTGCTTCAACTTCCGTACGTATCTCATCATCCCACCACAAAGTATTATTTTTCCTTTCATTCTTTCTTTTACTAACACCACATACTTCGGTAGCTGCATCTACTAAACCTTTCTTAACATTTTGCCATACATTCTCCAAGTCTAACTCATTCATACATAATTCATCCAAACCACTTACGTTTTCTTTCAGTCTACATTTAAACTTGTTTTTCTCACCTACATCTT